GGAAAGGGGGCAATGCTGGTATATTTGCATCCAGGCAGTCTGGGATTGCCAACGATGCTCCTAACTCCTGCAGCTTGCCAGAATGTATCTTTAATGAAAGAAAGAATGGTCAAACGCGTGACCGCAGAATACACATTTCTATATGTGGCTTGAATGTGAGACAGTATATGGAGGGCCTGGGCTACAGCAGATTTGGGGAGATTGCCCTGACTCCTCAACCATGAACCACATTCCCAAGTCTTCTTTGTGCCACACCCCTGGGAGTGTCTCAGAGATGGAGTTCCAGTCACAGCCCTCAAGAGGGTTCTGCGATGAGACGTGCCCAGGGTCCAGTCCAGGCAAGCATGCCTACAGTCAGCCAGAAGTTCCTGGTGCATGGGTTTGGCTCAGCTCTGCAGGGTGGCCCTCACATGCTTCGAGCAGGCCAGCAACGAGATGAGGAGCCGGACACACAGCGGTGGAAGGGCCCGCAGCAGTACCGAGAGGAGCCGGGGGGCTGAATGGATGCAGGGAGTGAATCCCCCTACCGGGGCTTCGCGCGAAAGAGGGAAAGAGTTCTCACAGAGGCACTGTGCTAGGAAACAAGAGGACCAAGTGCTCCAAGGAGTACATTAGCCCGGGAGTCAGGACTGGGGCAAAGTCCATCAGTGGCTGGCTGGCATGAGGCAGACTTCTCCCATCGGATCCAAATGTGTCAGGAGCTGCACCTAAGCGCGTGCCTATGTAAGATGGCAGAGCACTCCAAATGCATGTTAGAAAGCCTCCGAATTGGTGTTAAATAAATAATCACACTAGTTATTCTGGGATGGAGAGGCCGGGTACCACTCTATGTGCTAATGGGAGGGTGGGGCTCCGGCTGGCCGGGCTGCCTCATGCACGCACATCCCCGAGTGCTAAGCTTCAGGAGAGCCCTTCCGAAGAATTTCTCTGTGTTCTGATTTTGTTTCCCACGGTCAGCATTTGCCTGGGTACCTGGGGAAGGGGCGGGGCTGGGTTAATTGTTACCTCTGTGCTGTTATTAGTTTACCTTGTAAAAGCAGAAATAGGCTTTTAATGATTCTCTCTCTCTCTCTCTCTCTCTCTCTCTCTCTCTCTCTCTCTCTCTCTCTGTTGCTACCTTACAAACACAAACCAGAGACTTTTATCTAAATGAGCTGCTACAAATCAAAGGAAGGGCCCATGAGAGTTGCTAGGCTGCTTCTATCTTACTTGGGTGGGGAAACAAGCTTATGCTCTGCGAGCGAGGCTTAAGCATCTCCATCCTTTCTGCATCTAGCCTGCTTAGAAGCGAGAGTAAAAATACCAATTGGCAGCTGTAACGGATGAGCTTCTGAGTGGCCTAGATCAGAGGATACAGAAGTAAGCATCATGGTCTCCAGGCTGTGATGGTGCGTCTGTTTCCAATGTAAGCTTTGGCTTGGGGAGTCTTCTCACATGGTTTTTGCGGTATTCCCAGTGCTTAGCAAGGTACCCAGCATTACAGAAACTGTCTTAGAAACATTTAAGCACTTCCTCCCATAGTATTTTGGGTAATTCTTGTTGCATCCTTCACATGTTGTAACAGTATGCTTAGTTGCTGGTCTCCCTGCAGGATAGCTCATTAAGGACAGAGCATTGGTTGAAGCTATCTGGATAGCAGATGTGGAATAATACACAGCGTGGCTGCCAATAAGTGCTTCAAGGAAAGAAGGGATGAGTACTATGGCAACCTTTTGCTTCCCAGTATACTTAGTGTGCATCCTACAGCCTCCTCTGCCTCTGGCACCGGCTGTTCCAGGAAGGGGTCATGGTGGAGAGACATTCAAGAAGATAAGATACAAGTTTAAAAGAATATTTTATTTGTTTTAATGAGACAGTATCTCAATATGCAGCCCAGGCTGCCTTTTAACTCAAGATCCTCTGTCTCCTTGGTACTGGGCTTATAGACATACACCACCAAAATGGATTAAAACCCACTTCTGAGTGTTTTTAATTAAGGGTGAGATCACCTATAACGGATGAAGATCCACAAGTTTAAGAGCATAGCCACTCAAAAATACACTCACGGTCCTTTACTAGAACAATGCTGGCAAGATCACTATGAACCTAGGTTTTTTTCTTTGCCCAAGTTGAAACAAAAAGTGTTCCATCCTAGGCATCTCATGGAATCCAGGTTGGAGTTACCCTCCACGCTTTGCCCTCGGCTGTTGGCACACAGTGGACAAATTCCCAACTGTTCCCAGCAGTCTTGGCCCCTGGCAAGTGTGCCTACAAGCTAAGGAAGGGAACTTAGAAAGACAAACTTTGACACAAAAGCAAATCCTGAGGTTCTCAGAGAAGCTATTTCTAGCCTAGGTGACAAACGAAGTTTTGAAGACAGAAGGAACTGGGATGTACCCATTCACCCAACCTGTCACCAGCCAAGTGGAATTCCTATGCACATTTAGGCTCCGAGCTCCCTGGTTCCCCTCAGGATCTCTCCTGCCTTCTGAAGGCCCAGGTATTAGACGTCAGCTTAAATTGGGAAGAGCAACTCAAGCCAGATATCTATCTAGTGAGACCAATTCAATTGTAACTCCTTGTGGACAGACCCAGGCCTCTAGATTTGTACAGCTGTCTGGGCCATGGCACTGTGCCCTGAGGCTGGGTGCTGCTGACCAGGTGGCCCTCTTCCCTCAGTGTCCTGTCCTAGTCCGTCCCCAGTTCCTTCTCATTGTCCCTCATGGTTTCTCCCTCGTTTTCTCCACAGTCCTCCCCTCATCTTCTCTCAGTCTCCTAATAAGAGAATTCCAGGTTAGTCTCATTCTGTAGATGCCCTCACAGTTACTGGTAGACTGGGCGTATAGCTCGTGTGCTCTCTCCAGTTCCAGGGTCCTCTCCATCACTCTGCTTGTGAGGAGATGGTCTGCGTGCGGTCTGCGGTTCTGCAGTGTCTGGCAGAACATGACCTTCTACGTTCATGTACTGACCAGGCCCTGTGCTGGGCCTGTGGAGAAAAGGATAGATCCCATACTCTAGAATAGCGAAAGAAGGAAGGTAAGATTCTGTAGAGGATACAGAGGCAGCCAGGGGATGCTGGGTGTCGAGGACTCCCTGGTAAGACCCACAGGAGACGGCAACGAAGGGACGTTATTTCAGACAGGCTTAATTCAAGAGGGACTCTGAGAAATGAGCAGAGACAGAGAGCCCAGCTGGGTGTCAAGTCCAGGGTACCGGTGAGGCAGAAAGAACAGAAGTGACTATAAAGATAGAAAACCGGGGTGGGGGGAACCTTAGGGTGGTGGTTCTCAGCCTGTGGGTCATGACCCCCCTCAGGGGTTACATATCAGATATCCCGCACATCAGATATTTACATTACAATTCAATGAAATGAAATAATTCAGCAGGGGTACTGTACTAAAGGGTCACAGCATTAGGATGGTTGAGAAACGCTGCCTTAGGAAACGGGAAGAAGAAGTCTGCAGCTCCCATAGCCAGGAAGGGCAAGGCTGTATAACTCCATAAAGACAGTAGGGAAGCCACTGAGGAAGCCAAGGAAACTTCTGACGGAAAGGCGTAGAAGGCCCTAGAAGGAGCGTACGTAAGAACATACCAGCCAGATTCAAGGCACAGCTAAGGCCGTGAGGAATCGTGTCCAGACGGTGACCATGGGCACACTGCTTCCTCAAGGGCTCAGATAACTAGTGGACTATGGAGGTGGCTATGGGGGTCCCTGGGGTGGTCCAGGAAAGGCAGCAAGACCACGAGGGAATGGTTTAGCATATATGGTGGACAGAGCAGCACTGGGACATGTTCACGCCCATCCTTGGGGTAGGGACCACAAGATCTAACAGAGACTGACAAGGAGCCAGTACAGGAGAAGAGGAAAAGGCCGGGGGTGCTCAGGAGTGGGGGGCTAGGTCAGCTGAGCCTTAGCTATGCTGAAACCCTGCACCTCAGCCTCAGCCTGCCTCTCCCCCTTTAGTGACAGCAAATGTGTGAGTGGTGGCAAGGCCAGTTGTGGACTTGTCGCCGTGGCAGGCGGGTGGCGCCTGGCTTGCCGGTAGGTGATAGGACAATGCTGCAGCTGCTTCTCCTAAGATTTATGCTCTCACCAGGTAGGCCACAATCTCCCCACCTGCCACTCCCCACCCTGCTAGCTCCTGGATTGACAGTCTTGAACGTTAGGCCAGACCTCTCTAAATTTAACATCAGGAAATAAATGCCTATGCAAAGTACATTCTCAGAAATGTATTTTGTGGTACTGCTACAGGAGATGACTCAAAATATCTTAAAAGTCTACCTCTAGGGCATTAAGTAGGTTATGTATATGTATTATGTATATATATAAATGTGTATATATATATGTATGTATATATTACCTAAAATAGGAAGCTTTGACAAATGATTTCTAATAACTGAAATAAAATGTTGCCTAACATACTGTGGAGTCAAAACAGCATTTACCAAGTAGTGGTGGGTACAGTGTGGTCCCATGTATGTGTCTATGTAGACCTATGTGCCCATTTTATGTATGCACGCGAGAAAAAAGAGATACCACAATTTTTATCTCTATAGAATATATTATTTATACAATTTTAGGCTTCTTTCTATATGTATATGCACATATGTACACAATGGACATTTTTTTTGGTGTTAGAGGTTGAATTCAGGGTCTTGTGTATGCTATGGACTCCTTCTAACACTGAGAAGCAGCTCAGAGAAATGATCTTTTAAAATACATAATAGTTTTCTGATAACACCTTTTAGTAATAAAAAAGCCAAACTGTAAGATTTGAACTTTTTTAAACTCCCAAAAGAATAATGACAGTTTTTAGGTACTTCAAGGTCATGTAGCTGCTGGTCGTCCCCAGACACTCGAAGTCAAGATGGCTCACACACCTGTGGTAAAGCTCTCACCGACCATTGAGTAAGGGACCAGTTCCATTCCCCTCTTGCCCAGCCCCTCACAATGAGAAGACAGCTGGCTTTGTCTAGGCAGGATGTCTCTCTCATTCCAGGTTTGTTAAATAGTGACCTACCTTGCGCCGTCCGTCTCTGGTGAGCTCAGGATTCGTCCCCAGGATGCAAAAGCTTCGATGGCCACCAGCACTTAGCAAAGCATGGGCATAATGAGGGAGCCAGACAGTCTGGAGAGAGAGAAGGGAAAAGAATGGTGTTGGGATGGGAAACAACCATCATTTTTTGTGAATTATCTATTTTGAATTCCAGTATCTTAGATAACCCCCACCCTTAATGTATGTTTGCCTCTGCTTCATGTTTTTCCTTGATGCTGACCCTCCTCTTATGGACTCTTTCAAACAAGGGTACCAAACTCGGCCATAGCACACCCAGATGATGGGGTATAGTGAGCAGTACCCTTCCCATCTTTCACACAGGCTTGCCCTAATTCCCATTCCATTAACACAGAATAAGAGTAAGAACGATGGCACTGTTTCCCACCTAATCTACCCAGAGCAGTTCTAGGTGGAAAACGCCCCAAGAAATTTGGTCTTTAATGCTAAAAAGTCCATAAACGCCAGAATTACAATAACAAATCATTACTTATTCTAGACAATGGGGAAGAAGACCTTGAGGAGGTGAAGAATGGAATCACTGGAGAGAAATGCTTGAAGTATAGATTTAATACCTACTAGGAAGACGCTATCTATTCCGGGAAGGCAGGGTGACTCCTTGCGTACTCTTTCAAATGTAATATATGAGAAAGCCATCGCCATGATGGGCAATGGCATCCTCCCTGCAAAAGCACACACAGGACTGTCATTACCTGGGAATCAATATATTTTTTAAATGGAATATATCATTATCAATTGATTTTCCTTTTTCCTCTTAGCACTCCAGGGTCCTGGCTAGCAGGAGAGAGCTTTAATGTGGTATGAAGGATTTGGACAGGTAAATAAGTTATTGTAAACGAATCCCACCTCATGGCCAGCTTCTGAAGATATGACAGGCCGTTTGCTGATCCTCTCCACCTCAGGTTTTTCAGCTGCCTCTGACAGGGACACCCGTGAACCATATCAAATAGCCATTTGAAAGCCGAAGGTGGCAGAAATATTACTTTTCCCAAGGACAGACTGTTCCCTTTACGATTAAGAAATAACCTCTGTGGGGAGGCAAAGTGAGCCAAGGTCACCATTTAATTTTGACACTGAGCCAAAGTCGTGAATACATTTCCTCCACCAAGCCAGTGTGACGCATGCGGAGACATCGATCACTCTAGCCACAAGGTATTGGCAGCAATGGTGATCAGAAGATCAATGAATTTCTGGGAAAGATCCTGAGCAGATAGGTGTTGGTGAAGAGAGAGGTCTAGAAGACATCGGTCACACTGATTTTGGGTTCTCAAGGACCTCATCCATCCATCCATCCATCCATCCATCCATCCATCCATCCATCCATTCATCTCATTTCTCATTCATTCAGTAACTGTTGAGTGCCTGAAGCCTATTAAGGCCATTTTCTAGGCAATGGAAATGCATGAATGAACAAAACAAAACAAAAATATCACTACCCTTATGGAGTCCATGGTCTACTGGGTAGAAGCAAACAAGAAACAATGAACTTAATAGGCAATAATGAATTAGAAGATGGCGAATAGCATTTGTAGGGGTGGAGTAGAACAGGTTGGGAGGATGCTATCTGAGAACTTCTGTACAGTTTCAATAGAGCGTGAGAGGTCAGCATCATAGGGGGTGACATTTATGGAAAGGAATGGGGAATGGCTCACACAGGAGTCTAGGGCAGAGGGAAGAGCCAGTGTGAAGGGCTTTGGGGATTGGGACATCATTTTAAGATCAATGAGAAAGTCTCTTGTGGCTGGACATGGGACATTCCAGCAGACAATGGAGCTCGAGTGGTGGGCATTCAGAGTGCAGAGGGACTTGTGGGTCACTGTTAAGGCTGTCAATCAAAAGCATGAGGATCCCTGCTACCAGACATCTGAGAAAAGTCTCTCAGAAATCTTCTCCTCCACCCAGGCAGTTCAAGTCTCTCCAGCCAGGTGACACCCATGTCCGGGGTTGTACCCAAATGAAAATGGCATAGACCATACAGGAGGCTAAAGGGACAGCAGTGGGGAGGGAGGACAGACCAGTTCATGAGGCACACTTTCAATAATGGCCTTGCGTTCCTACTGTTTTGTGTTAGACACCCCTTCTAGAAGAGATAACCCTAAGAGTTCTGAATAGAATAAGCCACATGCAAAGCCAGGCTCTTTTCACGATATGAAGTGACATCCTCTGACTTCTGGTTAGGTTCAACCTTCGTGGATACCAGTAGGAGCCTGGGTATGAGTTGGGCCCTGTTGTGTCTTCAAGAGCTGTCTGTGTTCCTCAGCTGAAGGTCACAGCACTAGCTGAGGGAGAGGGCATCCCTCCCCCATTAGGTTCCAGTTAATAGCTGCCTCCCCTCGCCCCCTATAACTTATAGGCAGTAATTACCTCTATGCTCACTATTAGCACTGGGAGATTGTACTACTGTGGTATCTTTATGCTGCACTTATGCTTTTGTGATTTGTTCTTTTAGTTGACTCTCTTCAAATGATACATTTGAACCTATTTGTTACTTTTGGAGAGGATTAAACACGTGACTCCACAACAGGAATTTTCATATAACCACATGGTTTTGCGATACTGGGTAAGTGCCCACTTCTCATTTCTCCAACTCGAGAACATGGGTTGTGAGCCCTTCTGAATCTCTTCAGCACTGTCCCCTCTTGAGTATCCCATATTTCAATAGTACCACCAGTCATTCCATGTCCCAAGCAAGGAGCTCCCAAGTCATAATGCTTTGACCCATTCCAGCCAGATGCCCCCTCCTTTAAGGGGTTTTTTAACTGTTCTTAGCTCACATCTATCCTTAGTTTATGTCTTAGTGGTTTTATTTGTCTAGTTGAATATTTTCTTCCTTGCTGTTTTTCATCCCACCCAACCTCTATTTCTTGCAGTCAGATCTGTGGCTGACAACAGATAGATATTAAGATACTATTATCTTAAGACTTGAATCTTGGGTCCATGGTACCCATGCAACAGCAGTGCACCCTAGATCATGACTCATCATCTTTTCCTCTTAGATGGCTACAAATTACACTCATTCACCCATCCACATTCCGCCTTAATGAGCTACTTGGCATAGAAAGTGATTTTAAATTATTAGAAACCTAGTTTCAATGATCACAATGAACCACAAGGCCTATGAACCACAATTACAGCCAGCATGGCACAATAGCCCTAAGTGGTGTTTATATCTTGGCGCTAAACAACAGTGTTTGACAAGAGGAAAATCATTCCTGATATTAGAAATCTAGCCAACTAACCTGGGCTGGTAAGGCCATGGAGCTTAGAGGAGAACCTGCTCCCACTACCTTACTAAAACAAGCAGAAGTCCTAACTGCATTCTAAATATTTACCCTTAGACTTGCAGATAAGCACAGCTCTCACTCCTCACCAAAGAAATAACACATGATCTTGGTTACTTCAAGACAAACTGATCCCTTCTCTTCCATTAATTGACTTACCAAAGGGCAACTACCAAACTTAAAGATAAAAAAAAAACATTAAAAAGCAAAGGGACATATGATCTTTATTTTTAAAATCATGCCAGGTAATGTCACCACTTGTAAATGGGATCTATAACCTTTACCTTCCCAGGGTACTTACCAGATGAGATTGACTTTGACAAGACAAAGACCACTATGAAAACAAGAACCCAGGATGGGCTGTTTGGGTTAAATGCTGAGAGATTTAAAAACCTAACTCAGAGAGAACCATTTCAACTCAAAATCTGAAGGTACAGATGATTCCTGACATGAACCAAACTGATAGCCAAGAGAATTATAAACAAGGGCCCTAGGAGTCCTTACGTCTCTATAAAAGACACCAGTTTTTCCAAGAGAAACTGCCTGCAGAGAAGAGAAACCAATTAGGGACTCTCGCGTTTGGTACAGGATCAGAAAGCAGCTATGCCTGACTCTTGACCATACACCCCAATTACGGTTCTAGCACTCAGCAGTCCAGCACCCCTTGGCTGGCTAGGCAACAGAGATTCTGTCTTTCTTGGAAAGCAAAGGAAAGGAGCTGGAGGCTGGAGGCTGAAAGGAGAAAACTAGCCACAATCCCACCTCCTATCAGCTTGCATGCAGGGCTCCCAAACAGCCTTGGCATCAGGCTCAGCCGTCCCCTCCAAACACATCCTGTAGAGGGAACACTCATTCATACTTGCTTTCTTTCAAGAAGACAGAAAAACAGGCCATCCATTAATAATATCAACCATGGGCTCACTAAAGCCTATAGGCATCTCGCCAATACAAAAATAAGCATCTGGTTTATCCATTAGGTTCACAACAGTTCACTGGGCCAAGGGGTCCGAAAGGCTTTGCTTTTAAAACGGAGAGTAGAGATGCAAAGACGGAGCACGTCCTGAAAGTTCACCGAGCACCACACTGAGATTTCCCATTTCCATTAAGGTCCAGAGTTGGCCACTGATGAGATCCATTACTTGTTTTCAGCTGTTAGTGGGGCCCTGCCTGGCAAGCTTTAGCATGGACACACATTCGTCAAGGCAAGCTTGTGTCTGCTGAGGCCACGCTGCTGGCTTAGAGAAATAACACAGTCTCCACTATGCTTGAGGTTGGCAAAAATCTAGCCTATGCACATTTTTTCCTTTACCTTTTCTAACAAGTTGGTGAACCAATTACTTTTGTTATCTCCCATTTTACAGATGAGGAAATGGCAAAGTCCCACACAGAAAGTCAGTCAGGAAGGACGCCAAGGACGGAGCTCTGGATGTTTGTACACCTTTGTTCCAGATGCCCAGGGACCTGTCAGTGAGGATTTGAGAGTCGTCCTGTGCGTGCTGCACAGCTACCACCCTGAACTGGATAAACGAGAGTGAAAGTGTTAGTGAACCCCACTCCTGTCAGTCAGTCTCTGTGAACCCACACCCCACTCCACAGCCCCCAACAGCCTGGTAGGGTCAGGTGACCTCGCCTTGCTTCTGAGCTCCCCTCCTCCACCTGCCACAGGCTTGTCAACAGCGAGCAACTCTCTATAGTTCTTCGCAATCAGGAAGATGATTAACCCAGCGTTCCCCGCTCACTCGCTTCATTATCATCCTCCACCCCACGAGATAA